AGAGGGGGCTACAGCAGTGGCCCCTGTGTGAAGCTTCTCAAAGGTCCCCTGGCTCCAAGTCAGACCCACCTCTGGCCAGGGCTGAGCCAATTCATGACAGTGGCTGCACCTCTGTGAGAACGTATTTAAGAAGGGACCTGGGAAGAGGAGTTGGAGTTGTGAGGAGGAATTATGAGAAGGACACCTATGTGAACACTGAGGTCAGTGGAAGGAAGAATGAGGAAGAGGGGGAGGTGACCAGTGCAGAGCAGATGTCAACTTGCGGCCTGTGGAGGAGCCCACACCGGAGCAGGTGGCAGTGCCCAAAGAGGGCCGGGACTCTGAGGGGAGAAGCAGCCCCCACTGTTGTAGTTCGGCACTGGGAGGACTGCAACACGAGGGAGTGACCCACACCAGAGCAGATCGGGAACAGCTGCAGCCTGTGGGGAGGACTCACTACAGAGAAGGTTCATGGAGAACTGTCTGCAGTGGGAGAGGAGCCATGTGGAGCGGGGGGGGGGGGGGGGGGGAAGGGGGGGGCACGGGGAACGGCAAGGAGTGTTCCCAGCCTTGAGGGGGAAGGAGCAGTGGGACTGATCACCCCCCCCATCTCCTGCCTGCACCTGGGAGCAAAGCTGAGTCTGGAAGAAGGGAGGGGTGGGAGGAAGAGTTGTTTTTAAGGTGTGGTAATGCTTCTCAGTGTCTTACTCTGTCTGTTAATTGTTGTTGTTAGTGTTTGAATGAAAGTGATGTTCCTTTTCTTCCCCTTCTTTTGCTCATGCCCGGAATGGGTGAGCCGCCCCTCCCTCTCCTTATCTTGATTCTGAGCCTTTTGCTTTATTTTCTTCTTCCCATCCCTGAAGGGGAAGGGGTGACTGAATGGCTGTGTGGTGCTCAGTTGCCCTCTGGGCTCAAACCACGACAATGGGACAATGATAGATTTCCTAATCTCTGGGGGGTTTCCTCATTGTGGTTGTAGGGGGATGTGCTCTAAGAAGGTAAATTCTAACTTCTGCCCAGTGGCCTATGGGAGTGGATCTCAGTCTTAGTAGCAGTTTCTTGATTCATTAAGAGATGCACGTATCCTAGCTTCCCGGTTAATAGTTTTGGTAGACTCTGGGTAGCAGTGGTAAGGTTTGAATTCACTGTTACAAGTACATGGCCAGATCAGAATGAAAACACTTGTGTAGAGAAGCTCTGTCACCAGATAGTGCTTTGAACGGTTAGGGGAAGGTGCATGCTTCAGTGTTTCTGTGGGTCCTTTGGTACAAATGTTCAGCACTCATGGAAGCAGGGCTTTGAGATTGGAGTGCTTTTAAGATTTAAACTTCTTACACAGGAATTTTATGAACTTTAAACAATTACAGATAAAGTCTTGCCTTTTCGTGTGGATATCTAAAATCTTTGAAAACAAGATTTTTGTCATACTTCTCAACACTGGTTCCTGTATAAGAATGATGATTGTAGTATTGCTGTACCTAAGAGGGCTTTTATAAATAACATGGGTTGCTTAAGCACTGTAAATAGAAAATGCAGTGCAATGAAACATAGGTCTTACCATCCATAAATCTCAATTGTGTATTTGTGCTGTCTTGTGAGCCTCAAGGTGGGTGTGATCCATCCTGTTCATTCTGCTGATGACCTTAGGTTTGCAGCCTCGCCCAACTCTCCCCTCTGCCTTTCTCTGGGGTTTGCCCAAAATTCTGGCCTGCATCTAAACAGGAAGAATGCCAGGGCTGTAGATACATGGGATATAGAAGCAGTGCCTAAATGGCCTTTTGTTGTGAGCTGCCCCTACCTGTGCTGTGAGGCAGCTCAGACCCGAATGCCGGGAGCTGCAGGGCAGGCAGCCTGGGTGTCAGCAAAGCAGCTCAACCTCCTGCTAAAAACCAGAGTAGATATTGCCACCCCGAGTATAGCAGTGCCCAGAAGCCAAGTGGATAAAATAATAGCGAATTAATTTGTTATTTAGATGGATCAGAGCTCAGTACTTTGTGTGTGTAGGAAATGTTTCCATATTAGTTTTGGGTGAAGTTGAGAGTGGATGAAGGTTCAGCATGTGGTAAGCGTGGAACTTACCTTAAAGATGAGTCTGTACAGGAAGAACAAAGTTGGGCAGTTCACTCTTTTTGGTCTGTTTGCCAAGCTCAGATGCTAAGATACAACTTCACACTATGATTCTCATGTGTGAAACAAGTAGAAAGCAGATTATTTCCTTTGCTCATCTAAATCAACTTTCTTTTTCCTCATTTCTATTTTCTTTACTGCACTTAGTCTTTCATGGGCAGCTTTTACCCTTAATAGGTCTGCCCAGCAATTCTAAGCACATAGGAGAGGCAAAATATTTCTCACCTGCTGCTCACCACCCAGCAGTGGTGTTTCCTAGTCGTGTAGAGAAATATTATTATTAAGCTTTCCTTTCTGACTGTGATTTATATTTTGCGAGGTAAATCAAACCAGTGGAAGATGGGGAACCTGAGTGATGTGCAATGCTTACGATAAAGTCTGGGCTCTGCCCTTCGTGGCGTGCAGTTCCAGGAACTGTACCAAATGGTTGATTTTGCTGATTGCATGTGTCACTGAGTTTATCTTGGAAGGTTCATAATGTTGTTATACAAATATCCGCCTCTTTCTCACCTTCCCAGGTATTGTATGAGATCAGCTCGAAAGAACCAGTGGTATCTATTCTGTCTCCAAAGTCTGTTTTAAAATTGTGTTAATATTTTAAAACATGATCAGTTCCTATTCTTTTAATGAGCCCTGTGGAGAGGTGTATACATTCTCATCTATATATAAATAGCATGTTTTAGCCCTCATTAGTCAAAATGACACCTTCTATACCCTCAACTGTTTTCACATTTCCACATGAAGTGTGTTCCCAAAACTTTGTGCTGTCTGATTGATCTCTGCATTGCTCGATTTTCAGACCTAGGTATCTCAAGCTGGCTGAAAAGATACAAAGGTTGACTAATGTGATTTCTTTAATCTTCTTTTGTAGAATTAGTATTACAAACCATGTAGAAAGTCTTTCCAAGTTCACTTTTAGCATCAAGCTTGGCACAGGCACGAAGGACCACATCCCATCTTACACTGAAAAACATACCACCTACTGCCAAAAAAGTGTTAGGAGACACTGCTGCGTGGGGAAATTGTGTAAGAGAAATAATTCTGTTAAAAACTGTGGAAAAGAAAGCAAAACACCCTTCAAGGCACAGGCTTGCCCAACTTATTCTGTTCAAAGATTGCCTGTTCTACAGCTCCTCTCCCAAGTGAGTGCTGTGGAACAGACATTAGCCGGTGGGAGGATTTAAATTCAGTAACTTGTCTGCTAGTAAAGAGCACAGACAACTACTCATTTCAGGACTTCCACGTGTATACATAAACCAGACAAAGACCGCCTGAGGGAATGGGAAGCAGTAGAAAGCCTCTTCTAATCTGAAAGAACCGTGGAGCATATAGAAAACACCCATTCATCCTTTGTTTTCTATTTACTCCTACAGGTTATCCTGAAGGCTGGGGGGCGGGTTTGTGTGCTAGGCCTGGGGGGGAACTTGAGTTTACTGCTGCCTTCTGAAATAGTTTGTAGTGTTCTGGATCCTCTGACCCCTGGAGGCACCTCTGGGTCCCCACAGAAGGGCAGCTGCCATTATCTTACGCTTTTTTTTTTTTTTTTTTTTTTCCCCCCCCCCACATGGCATGTGTGAAACACACGGCCAGTTTTAGTGCAGCTTGTACTGAGAATTTCTTGACTGAAGACTCTCAAAGAATTTGCAGAATTTCCTCTCCATTTTTTTTATGGTCTAAGGGTGGGTATTCCTCTTGTCTGGCTCAGTTCTTTGCTAAAAGTCTGTCTGAAGACTTTATTAAAAGAAATAATGTAGAAATAAATATCACCGTGAATGACTGTGGAGCGGAAATCTTGCCCTCTCCATCCTCAGAAGTATAAAGCATAGGTAGAATAGCAGAATTTGAGGAAAAATACTTAGTACTGGAAGTTTATCACCTTTCTAAGTTTTTATTGTCTCATCCTGCAAGAGACGATTATTTTATGCTGCCTTTATGGATTGCTCTGAAGTCTCTGAAGAGGTTAATCTAGTTTTGGGGTGGGAAGTGCATCGAGAGAGTGAGAAGCAGCGTCTGACATTTCTTGTCTTGGGCGCTGACCCAAGCGCTGTGTGTGAGAGGGAAAGCGCAACATCCGTGTAAACCTATGCTGGTATTCCTGGTAGGAGGAGGATTTTGAGCCAGAGATTATTAGGATTAGAAAACACTGATTTTCAGGTTCGTGTTTACGGATATTCATGAGTAGTGCTGGAAGCGCTCGCCTTTCGGCTGTTTTGTAACCTGCCCTGGTTTGACAGGACTTGCCTTGCCTGTAGCCCTGTAGAAGACTCGAAGCTCACCTAGGAGCGTGGGTTTGGGTTTGGCATCCAAAAGTGTAATTAGAGCTTCACCTGCGTGTATATGGCCCAGAGACATCAAACCCTGCAGCCCCCCCTGCCCCTCCAGACTCTCCCCGCGGAGTTTTTGGGGCAGCGCCCACCCTGCAGTGCTGGGCACCCCTGCCCGGGCCCGGGTCCCCCCCTGCAGCCCATGAGATGCCAACAGCCCCCCCGGAGCGGGATTTTGGGGCATTTCCCTGTCGCTTCCTCTCCCGAGCGGCAAGCCGGCAGCCTGAGCCCGGCCGGGCCGGTTCCCGGCGGGGCGGAGCAGCCTCCGCGTCCGCGCAGCGCCGCGCACCTCGCCCGAAGGGCTGCGGAGCCGGGCGGGCGGCGGCGCGGCGTGCTGTCTTTTCGGAAAAGTTTGTAGGTGCCCGAGGGCGAGTTTCACGCGTGAGCGGCGGCGGCGGGGATGGTGTGTGGGGGGGGTGGGGGGGGTGGTGTGCGGGGAGCGGGCGGGCGGGCGCTGCCCGGCTGCGCGTCCGCGGGGGCCGGGCCGGGCCGGGGGGGAAGGGGCGTCGCCATCTGTTGTTAATTCCCCGGTCATTGGATTAGTAACCCGCGGTGATGAGATCAGCGGGATCGGCTTTCGCGAGGGGGCACGGCGCTGGCCGCGCTCCCCAGCTGCGCCGGCTCTCGCATGCGGCGGCGGCAGCGGGCGGCCCCGGGGCAGGCAGCGCGCACAAAGCCCGGTAGCCGCCGCCTCCCGCCTCGCCGGGCACCGCGCACCGGCCGGGGCTCCCGGGGGGCCCAGCCGAGCGGGGCCCCGCAGCCCCCCCGCCCCGCTGCCGGGCCACAGCCCTCCCCCCCCCCCCCGCCCCCCGCCGCCGCCTCCCCAGGGCGGGCGCTGGCAGCGGCGGCTGGGAGCCGGCCCCCGCCCGGGGGGAGCAGCGTGGGAAGGGGGTGCTCCCGCCAGTCGCGGCGACGGGGAGGGGGTTCTGAGTTTGTTTACTTGTGATTCGCGGCTCTTCCTCTGGATTCTCGCTCCGCTCCCGTAACGGCTCGGAGCGGGGCTTCGGCGGCGGTTCGGGGTAAGTTTGCGGCGGGTGGGCTCTTCCCCTCGTGGGAATTCTGTGGGCTGTTGCACCGCGCCTAGAGACGGGGTTGTTCTTTTTTAAACTGTTTTTCAAGCTGATGTTTGGAGAAAATCACTTCTGAAGCGTTTTCGGTTTTATAATGAAATGTTTTACAATAGCAATTAGTTTACGGAGCTTTAAAAGATAATTATTTTTAGATGCTAGATAGCTAGAGATTTACGTTTCTTATAAACTGAGTTTATTTGACTTCGCGCTGGTGAAAGCAATACCTTTTGCCTAATGATTGCCACAAGCTAGTATTTTACAGTGGTTCCTCGGTGCTTTTTCGTGCAGTAAAAGCCAGCCCTCAGTTCAACTGCTCAGACAGATCTGAAATACTAAACTATCTTCCCAGCGAGGGCAAGAGGCAAGCTGAATCTTTGTCAAGTCAAGCCTGAATTTGTATGCGAGACCTGAGTTTCAACAAAGAAAGGCTTTGACTGAATTTGCGCTGGCGCTGCTGGGGGAGCTCCCGGCCAGGCCCCCCCGGCCCCGGGGCCGGTACCCGCCGCTCCTGAAGAGCAACGCCGGGGGAGGTCGATGTGGCAGCGTCCATGCTGGCAGCAGATCGGGTTTTATTTCTTTGTGTCTAGGGCTCGGAGTGGAGACTGCTGTAGGGGGACAGCGTCCTATATAGAGAGACGGGCAGCTACTACTTCAGTTGGCTGGCTTGACGCTGGCTGCAGCCCTTCGGTGCTTAAGTCATACCTGATATCATCACAGTGCTCTGTTTGCCTTCGGTGACAGAAGCAATCCCTGATAAGATATCTCCATGTTGCAAAACAGCTTATCCTCCTGGGAAAAAAACAGCCCCAAAGAGTTACTCTTGATGCTTGTGGCTGAAACTGGCCTGGCGTGTGCAGCATATCTCAAAGGATGCTACATTTTTAATGTTGTTTCTGTAACTAAAGCAGCCCGTTGGGGACGTGAATATCAAATTGCCGTTAGATTATTTGGTGCTGCTGACAGAGTAATGCCAGATACCGTATGTTCTCTTAACGACAAGCGGAAGTTTTATAACCGGCCTTGATAATGGAAGTCTGGTTTTCTTGGTAGCTAATATGCCTCAGTGTCTTGCTGCTGACTCTGGATGTCCTTGGATGACCATCCTGTGCCTCAGTGTCCCTGCCGGGGCTGAAGGGAGGCCTGGTACTTCCCTGCGTCAGAAGGATGATAAAACTTCCCAGCTCGGTGCCTTGCTGAGGCCCTCATGTGGGTGTTGCTCTGGAAGCACATACTGGCGCTGTTAGGCTCAGCGAGCCCTCTCTTCACGCCGGTACCATCCTACCAGAGTGCTCTCTGGACTTCTGTTTGTCTTTGCAAATGTCACTTCAGCCAGCTTTGAAACACCAGGCTTCCTGCCCAACAGGCTGTGGGGCTTGGGAGTAATAAAGCAGTGCTGCCTTTGCGCAAGGAGCTTTCAGGAGCTGTGAGATTTTTTTGTTTTGTTTCGTTTTTTCATCGAATCATAAATTACAGTCATCTTTGTGACTTGTGTTTGTGCAGCATAGGAATTTCTGAATGATGGGCCATCTCTCCTGTGACTCCACAAGCAGCAGCTCATTAACTTGTCAGGCTTCATTGTTGCTGTGTAGACTTCTGTAATGGATTTTCCATGTACTAAGAAAAATTGAGCAAGCTATTTTTGGCTCATTTTCATTCACAATCACCGTTTGCCCCTCTTCCATATATAGGTCACTGTCCTCTTTTTGTGAGGAAGGAAAATAATTTTCCCAGTGGCACTGGATGCCATATCTCAGAACTCCATGTGATGGTTACTTTGAGTTGGATTTTTTTTAATTCAGACAGCTGAAGACTTTTTTTCCTTTGAGGAGCTGTTTTGCTTACACATTTGAGGCTTAGTGACAGCAATCGAGGAGGAAAGCAAAGCATGGTTTTCTGAGATGTTAAAAAAAAAAAATCTCAGTTAAAGTGATTAGCAGCATTGTGTTAGATACTCAGATGTCTCATCTCCATAATTCTTCTTGGCCAAGAAGAGGAAGGTAGAAGGAGGAATGCCTTTACCAGATTCAGGTTCTGTAAGCCACGCTGTGTTTTAGCTGTCTTCTCTATTTAGACTGCTTGGATACTCACTACTAACTGGACTGACATCCTTTACTAGATTCTTTTTGTGCCAGGGCAACATCACTTCAGTGCAAGTTTGAGGCTTTTAGAGTGCTTCTGGGCATGGTAAATCCCAGCTTGAATAATGGTAATGCAGAGCAGCCTTGATACTCACTTCTATTTCCTCCCTTTGTTAGTGAGGATAAATGCACTCTTCTTCTTAATAGCATATCCATGTAAAGGAAATTTAGACGTGTTTTCTTTTTAGCGGGTTTCCCAGGGTAGAGGTTTGACGTAAATGTTGCTGGACTTCATAAATCCTGGCTTAAGGCCAAGGCAAGACTGATGGTGGAGCGGAGCGGAGGCTGGTATCGTGGGGTGCCTACCTTCCTGACGCCGCCGGGAAGCCAGCCTGGGCTCCCGGCCCGAGCCCTGCAGGGCTCCGTGCTGGCAAAGCTGTTCAGATGGAGGCTGCTAACTTGGTGTGGTCTCGCTGAGCTGTGTTAATACTGTAACGCACCTTGAGGCGAGCAGAGATGGAGGCCGCGCACGTTATCCTGGGGACTTAAGGTGTTTATTAAGCCAGTATAAATCTGTTTTCTGTGATGAAGGTGATGCTTAAGACTGCCCATTGATCAGCTAACCAAAGTTTTGAAGTTAAAACTCAAGGTAAGGTCGCTATGTATAGCTAAATATTTGCTAATAATTCTGGAAATTAGTGTTGTGGATTGGGACTTGCCATATCAGGTAGCTGCCTCGCCCATGCCTGTTTTTCGTGGGATTGTGTATATGCTAGTGAATCTGCCTCACTCAGTGCAGCACACACATCCTTCAGGGATGGCTTTAAGCTATTTTTGTAACATGCAATTTAGGCAGCTGAGAACTGTTAACTGATGTAGGGTTGTGCTGCTGTAGGATAAGATGTTAATGCATCACGCCCTTCCTGGAAGAGTAGTTTATGTCTTACTACTTTAACTTTACTCAACTGATGCTGAGGTCATTTGTGGGCGTTGGTTGGTTGAGGCATTTTGCTTATTTGCTTTTTACTTTGAAAAGGTGCTTATGGGTCAGTAACACATTTGGTAGACCGTATCCTTCAAATATACTAGTGTGTGCCACTTGGAAAGGGCTGAATCCAGAGTTTACCGATACCAAACCATCAACTGTTGTCCTTTGAGAAAGTTATTTTGTTACACTGTCGAAGCTACTGTTGCTTGAAGACAGCTCTGTATTGGACCTGTGCTCTCTCCAGAGTTAAAAGTGTTTGAGATGGTTGGTGCTGTCTGAATCCTGCTTTAAGGTGATGTCTGGTATGATGTCAGGAAATGCCTTTGCGTTGCCTCAGCTGCTTGTGCTGCTTTATAGCCTGCATCCCTTCAGATTGTATGGTGATAAAATTGGGTTGGTTTTGGTGTTTTTTGTTTGTGTGGTGGTTTGTTTTTTTGGTTTTTTGTTTTTTTTTTTTTTTTTTGTTTTTGTTTTTTTTCTGGTGTTAGTGTCTGGAAAGCTTACAGAATAATCGGTAGCATTCACAACCTATCAGGGAAAAATCCCTGCCCTGAAGACACTTGTTTTTAAAGCAAAGCTTAAAGCAAACAGTATGCCCCAGTAGCCTTGGTGGCAGCATGGAAAAATGCATTAAAGAAGGGAGAAAGAAAACGTGGCTTCTGTTTTGGGAGCAGTGCTGAATAAGAGAGAGCAGTGCTCGCAGGGTGCCACGACTTTGAGCTAAGAACTGCAGTTCTGTTTGGCTGGCACTCTGATTAAAATCTGATGGCTCTATTTTGGCTACTTCTGCCCTATTAAAGCCTGGGCCTGCCAATCAGGAGTGCTGAGTAGAGCTCACTACTTTCCTTCCTTTGGCTCCTTTTCCACCAAAAATGGAGTAGTGACAGGTACTAGCCTATTTAAATCTACATGTGTGTATATTTATATTTTTCTGGGGGTGTCTTTTTTAAATGGATGTCACCTTTGCCTCAGAGGTAAATGCAGTACAGCTTCTAATTTGTGAAGCAATTGAAATGCAGAACTTTAACATACTGTGCTATGCTTTGTCCATGGCAAAGAAACACACGAGGGGGGGTTTATATCTATTTTCTTCCTTAGTAAGAGGTGAGCTGCCTAGGCTTAACACGGGTGCTCAGCTGTGACCTAAATCTGTTCCTACTGAATTCACTTGAACTTAGACCAGTGCTGAGCAGTATTTTGTATATTTTTTTGGCCTTTCTCTGCTTACTTTGTGTATCGTTGGGTTGAACATCATGCAGCAATCCTGCTAATGACTGGTGTCGGTTGACAAGTTTTATTGTTTTGCACTGCAGAGCGCAGGTGACTTGACAACTTTTTGAGGATTTGTCAGAGGCTGAAGTGACAAGTACGCTTTGGTGTGCAGCAATGTATGAAATCCATCTTTGAGCTGATGGCAGACTAATACTTTCAGAGCTGTTGCAGCAGACTCTTTAGTTGAGTTTGCTTTCTTGATTTAAGTATGTGCGTTTCCAAAAGTTTGTTCTAATACTGCCTTTCTCATTTGACACGATCGCCGGAGTCTGGCGTGCACTTGTCTTCTGTGAGAATGGGTTGTCCCTTTCTGTGTTAACAATTCTCAAAGAAGATCTCGCAAAGGGATTTTGAGAGACACAAGATTAACCGTGTTTGCGCTGCCTTGTCAGAAGAAGGAGGATTTCCCTCCTGCAGGAGCAGGTCTGTGCCCTGGGACCTCACCAGGCTGGGGACTGCGGTGGCTCTGTCTGCCGAAGCCTCCCGGGGGTGGGCTGGGCAGCCTGCACCTCCTCTGTCTCTGAAGGGCTGCCGTAAGGACTGCTGATGGGCACTTTGCTAGTGCATTTTTTCAGTAGTTTTTCTCCTTGGTACCTGAATGCAGCAAAGCT